AGTGATTTATTTTATATTTTCAGGTACAGCGGTTAGTTTGAAATAAAAGTTTGTTTAAAAGTGGAAATTGAGTCTCACATTATTTAAACATTATTCAAAACATTAATGGTGAAAATTTTCGACTTTATAAAATGATTCTCTCAAGTCTTGGCGATCGGCCCCTATTAAACAATAAAGAAAGTAAGACATCTTTTTCTTATACATAGTTTAGTAGCCTACTATTCTTTTTGCCAGAATTGATCATTAATCAACTTAATTATTTCCAGGATTTTGTATCACTATAGTCCCTAAATGTATGTACATGCAGGAAATGGGATTCAAATCGAAAACCTTTTCCCCCATTTTGTGTCCCCCCCACTTCTCAAACCAAAGTTACACCCTTGGGCTGACTTATAAGTGCAGTACAATATTATTTTAAGAAAAATATTACTATGCATGAAGGGAAGTACTGGCAAAATCTCACCTGTATTAAGTCACTCTGGTCACTAGTCATGTACTACAGCCTTTGAAATGTGATAAAAACAAAACAAAAACATCTTTTAGTTAAGTACTGTAAGGGTGGTTTCCCTACAGTAGTTCAGGCTGTAGGATTGCCGAAGGACTAAAGAAATGTTATCAGCATGATCGTATAAAACTGTAAATTTCTAGTCTATTACCACCCACTGCCACTTATACCAACAACGGAAATAAGCACAGTTAGAATAGCTAAATATGTGGGAGAGCGTAGCTATTGAGTGACTATATTGTATTGCAATAGCACTTCAATGTTAATATTGATTCAAGACTAGTTAGCACATAATTTATAATTGAAATGTTTTAATAACAGAAATTTGTTAAATTAAAATTAAATGTATGCATTTAGCAGACGCTTTTATCCAAAGCGACTTACAGTGCATTCAGGCTATACATTTTTTATCAGTATGTGTTATGGTTACACTTGAATTAAGTTACAAATAGATGAAGGATGGTAAAACATGGTTAAGGGAGGGAGAAAGAGATTGAGAGAAAGAGGGAGAGAGGGCAGAGCCCCAAGAAGAGAGTCCCAAAGAAAAGAGGCAGCAAAGAGAAAGAGAAAGAGCCCGAGCTACAGTTACAATCTTCTTTTATCACTTCCTTGACCATGTGACTAAAAACCAAATGTGAGACATTCAAACTGACCAATCAACAGATTACAGCTTTACCCACTGTGCAAAAGGTGTGACAATTAGCAGACCCCCGATGCATACACATGTTGGCCTACAGGCTTTGATCAATATCAGCACTTTTGTGCCTTCTGGAATGCCAAATGGCCCTTTTGTTACTCAAGATAGGTTTGAGACAGGAAAGCAGAAGTCTTTTATATAATTTTTGACCCTACAGTACAATATTTTTTTTTCTAAAAATGGCCACTAGTAATGTAGGCTATTACAACTTTTAAAACGTGAAAGAAAGAAAAAACATTTAGGTGAATTACAGTAATTGTTTTCTAAAAATAATAGTGTAGGCTACTGTACTTGTATAAATGGAGGTATTGGCAAAATCTCACCTGTAGTAAGTCAGTCTGGTCACTAGTAATGTACAAAAAACTCTTGGTGAATTACAATAATTTCTTTCTAAAAATAATACTGTACTGTACATATGTGATCCCGGACCACAAAACCAGTCTTAAGTCGCTGGGGTATATTTGTAGCAATAGCCAAAAATACATTGTATGGGTCAAAATTATTGATTTTTCTTTTATGCCAAAAATCATTAGGATATTAAGTAAAGATCATGTTCCATGAAGATATTTTGTAAATTTCCTACTGTAAATATATTAAAACTTAATTTTTGATTAGTAATATGCATTGCTAAGAACTTCATTTGGACAACTTTAAAGGCGATTTTCTCAATATTTAGATTTTTTTGCACCCTCAGATTCCAGATTTTCAAATAGTTGTATCTCGGCCAAATATTGTCCTATCCTAACAAATGTAGAAATCTCAATTTCGAAAAATGGACTCTTATGACTGGTTTTGTGGTCCAGGGTCACATATATGAAGGGATGTACTGGCAAAATCGCACCTATAGTAAGCCTGTCTGGTCACTAATGTACTACAACCTTTAAAATGAAAAAAAAAAAAAAAAAAATTTAAGTGAAGAACAGTCATTTT